TCCCAGCCGTGGGGAGCGAAGCATCCGAGGTAGATCATACCTCCGATCATGAGGATCATGATCATGTACATCCACTTGAAGCGCTTCCAGATCTTGGGCAGCTCGGCGAAGAAGTTGGAGTTGTCCTTTTCCTTGGCTGTGGCACCCCAGCTCATGTCGATACAGAACATGTGGGAGCAAATGGCGAGGAGGATGTGGAACGAGACACCACCGAAGAAGATCATGAAGAAGGGCATCCACTTGAGGTTCTCGAAGAAGGCACCCAGTAGACTGGCCTCACCGATACGGTAGCGCATAATGGCGAAGCAGACGTTGGACATTCCGTTGAACACGATGAGCAGGACGATGAAGATCTTCCACGATTCGACATAGTACTTGTCGAGATCACCGTTGAGCCATCCGACCAGGAAGTAGTTGAGGCAACCGAGGGGAACGGCCGATCCGAGAGCGTAGTAGGAGAAGATGTAACCGCAGATGGAGATCTTGGACGACAGCTGGATGTTGGAGAAGATGAAGGTGCGGAAGAGCTTGGTGAAGGGGGACTTCCACAACCAGGTGTGCACAGGGTTGAAGACCAGTTCGTTGCAACCGTACGCGTACTTCTCCCATCTGTCCAACTCGTCGAAGATGGAAAGAGACACACCCTCCTTGAAACCACGACCGTGGTAACTGGCCAAGCGGACAATGTTACCCTTGATCTGGAGACGAAGCGCGATATCGAAATCCTCGGACACGTGGCTCTCGGACCAGAAGCAGACGTAGCCGTCATCTTCCGGAGGGTTGCCGACGGACTGGACAGCTTGCCATCGCAAGAAGGCGTTGTGACCGACAAAGGGTGCGACTTCACCGCTACCGACTGAGAAGCGGATGGCGGTGTAGACGAGGTTAGTGAAGTACGTGATACCGTTCTCGAAGTAATCCCAAGAGACTTGCATGACACCAGTGGCGTGCTGAACAATGGCGACTTCGGGCGACAGGTACATTTCGGCGGCACCGTACATGAGGCAGTCTTCAGGAACGATGGTATCGGAGTCGACAATGAGAATGATTTCACCCATACGGATGTTACCGCCAGCCTTCGCGCGGGGGTCCGCGGTGAGAACCTGTTCGAGAGCCTCGTGATAGAGAGCGAGCTCCTCCTCCTCGGAGATCGAAGCATCACCATCAGCCTTGTCGAAACGGTTGTCGACCATGCTTTGAAGTACATCCTCGACCTTGTTGGAGGTGTTGAGAGCGAAGTTCATGTTCGAGGCCTTCTTGAACTTTCCGCGGCGAACGAAGCCTTCGTGGTTGTGCTTTGGGCGCGAGACCCATCCAATGTTGTTGTTCTCGTAGAATCGCAGGAACTTCTCGTTATCCTCTGCCGATCGGACGGCCATACCATCGTCGTTGATGAAGATGCGTGCAGTTCCACCACGGGACTCGTAGTAGGAGATGGCGGCTTGCAAACTGGCGACGGTGGGCTTGACGACACCCTCAAGGGACTCGGTGTAGATGGGCATTTGGATGGTGATGGTCGACGGCGTGAATCCCATGGCGCGTGCCTGGGCAAGGTTGGGCTTGACGGCGGAGTGGAAGCGGCTGTTGGACTTGACACCAGTGACGGGTCCGAACACCTCGAAGATGTTACCCAGGACGACAACGACGAAGAAGAGACCAAGGGCGATCCACAGTGGCTCGGTTAGGACGAGAAGGATACGAGGGTAGAAGTGATCGGTCATAGTCTGGAGAATGATGGCCTTGTTTCCGAGACCGATGACGAGGACGATGATCAAAACCATGGCAAGACCGACGAAGATGGAACTTGTGAAGATGAGAGGACGTGCGAGCGACTCCTTGGGACCTTCGGCCTTCTCGAGGTCACCATCAACCTCCTCAGCATTGACCTCAACATCGTCCTTCTTGCTGTCGATAGCGAAGTCGACGGTTGATCCTCCAAGGGTGGAGTTGGCACTGGACTGGATGGCGCTGTCGAAACCACTGAAGGGGTTCTTTGATGTACCCCAAACCAAGGCCAGGATCCTTGATTCGATCTCCATCGCCTGGGAAAGGATCGCACCGAGGTCATCGTGCCATACAAGGAGGAGCCTCTCCTGGCGGATAAGAGCTGCGTATTGGAACTTGCGGATGGTACTCGAGGTAGCGACCTCTGCCATTGACTCGAAGATCTGGATCTGGGAGCCGTTCTGGAACATCAACTCCGTCTCGAAGGGCTCGAGGACATCAAAGATGGCCTGGGTACCATCGGTGCTCATGGTGAGGGCGACACCAGGGTTGATCCTCTTTACTGCCGAGAGAAGGTCCTTGTTGGCCGCGACGGGTTCTGTGACGTATTCTCCTTGACCCTTTCGGATCAGGACACCTTCGCAGGAGCCAGGTGTCAGGGCACTGGATGTCATCCATCGCATGGAGCATGCCTTGGCGTAAAGGTGCTTGATGATCTAGGTTGTGTGAGACATTGTTATGCAATCTTGAGGTTGTTTGTACTTACGGCACGGTATCTTGAGTCTTCGTCAATCTTCATGGTCAACGGCCGCGACAGGGCCGGACGACTCGTCGGTGTCTGGGGAACGGAGTAGCGGGAGGAGTCATTGACACTGCCACTGAACGATTGCCTGCTGGAGGGGATGAAGGGTCTGTCCCCATCGTGGGAAGGTGTGGCGGAAGACATGCCGAGGGGATGTCAAAAGAATTAAGAGGAGCGGTAGGGATAGTAAGCGATTGTAAGGAGCAGACGAGTCTGTTAAAGACAGGTGCTGTGGTCGGAGCCAAGAAACGAGGGAATGGGCAAGGAGCCCTGCGAAGATCAGTAAAGCGCGAGTGTGTAGAGACTGGAAAGAGAATGGAAGCGGTCGACGAGCAGAGGTTATCAACGCGGCACAGTTGGTAGTGTCTACACAATTCTCTCCGACTACGCGAAACAGGGCCCCGCCACAATCCTTAGCGACCAGGTCAAAGATACACTCATGCTACACACTATCGAATGTTCGGCAGACCCCTTGTCTAGCACGTTCGAGTCTCAACAAGACCTGCTACGCGAATGCCCCGATTAAGGTCACTGCGTCTGTCACAAACGCTATCTCGCATTCACCACCATCCAGAATCGGCGGCAGCGCAGACCGCCAGCTGCACCTAGCGATCCTTCCATCTATCGATTATTTCGCCAGCGCACGCCCCGGTCGCTCTCCCGTCCGCTGGGCCATGGTGGTCCTCGATGTTGGGACAGTGGCTCCCTTACTAGCATCGACGAACATATGTTTCGCCGGTGCAACACCATCAAGCTATGGGTCATCATCGAGATCTGAAGCAAAAGGGGATGTGCAATTGTTTGTCGCATTCGGGTACCTTGCACGCCCACGCTTGTGCCTGAGCTAAGTGGAACGGTTTAGCCTAGCCGCTGCTATACTGGGCGTGCGCCACCACTTTTTGACGTTCCGCCGGAGGAGAATTTACTTTTCTCGACGTTCGGTCAGCTCCTCGGCGTCACGTAGCGGACCTGTCCAGCCAGCCTCCTACGTTGCGATTAAGAGTCAGGTCGGAAGTGGAGACAGCTGGCCGCCTAGCTCAGCGCCGAACCGGGCATCTGGAGCGCTGGACCGCTCAGTCTTGCCGGCACCCTACGCCGCAAATACAGTGACGTCCTGCAAGCCAAGATGAGGTCCTGGCCCACGCGTGCGCCATCCCGACAACCTCTGGGCGAGCGGTATACATCCTCAGAAGGGGGACAAGACCCTGCAAATTGCTTTTACAGGATGCCCACGTTCCGGGAGCGGATGAATCCCACGTCGCAAACAAGCCAATGATCAATGCGCAGCTTACTGCATGTTGCCCTTGATAAGCACCCTTGCTGACTCTCCCGTGGTTAAGATTAGGACTTTGTTCCGCCTCTATTGATCCTGTACCCCCGTCTACATGTCGAACAACACACAAAGCAGCTCGCCACTATCAGCCACACGTCACAGATTTCCTGCCTCAACTCTTTAACTTTGCATGACGCGATGCCCAGCTGGGCTATTTCGAGCCAGCAGAGTTGCTAGTCAACAGAGTTCGATTGCAGCAGCGGAGCTACTAGATGTGCGACACCCGTCGTGGTTAGTGCGTTTAGCCGGCTCGCCGATAACTCAATCAACAGCTTCTGGTCAGCAAGCCGAGGTGCAGGATTTAGCCACCAACGTGCAGATACGGAGGGGAGGATACAACATCAGAAGCTTGCATACTGGCAAGCCGCGTCTAGGCTGACCCGCCAATGCATAGACGGCTGCATCAAGGGCTACGGAGGCGCATCTACAGGTCCACACTTTTCTGGGTACAAGCGTGGAAAACCCAAGTGTAGATCGCGCGGGTTTTGAAAAGCGATCGACCGGGCGCTAGACAAAACATGAACCATGGATTGATGTGCCGTGGCGCCCGAGATCCAAGTCAACTCTCCAACGTCAAGCCTCAAGCACAAGCCTAGCCACGGCCGGTCAAATCCTTCCGTATCCCTAGCGGTGTGTGGCTTTCCCCCCTGGCACGTTGACTGCAAGGCTGTCACACTAGTTCTGCGCCTATCTCATCTTTCCTGACGTACCTGCGTCTAAACGAACGCTAGCAACAGCCACGCTACTGTGCACTATTTCCAAGACCGTAACAAGCGACTGGGATGAAACTGCCATGGGCACTGCCCGCCCCTTGCACTTGCAGAAGCCATCACGTCGAGAACGGCAGATACGCCTAGAGCCTGTTGAATGTTCTAAATCTAGGCTTTTGGAATCCGTGAACCTCGCTCTTCCCGACGCCGCTTGAGCCTACTATCGATTTATCGGTGCCGCATACTCAGCGCGGCGCTCGCTCGGCTTGTGGTATCGATACTTCAGCTCCCAACAACGTCCCCTGCGTTGTTTTGTGTACTCTTCCAATCTCCTTAGACGAGGTCGCGTACGGCAATAAACTACCTTGCCCATCGCTAACACTTTGGCATTTCCATTCCGCTTTTGATACCTTCATTCTACAGTACGACAATGCCTTCCTTCTTCAAGCGCAACAAGAAGGCCAGCCCTGAGGAGGACGCACCGCCTCAGGCCCACTCCCAAGATGTCCCAGACCTTCCTGCCGGCATGTCACAAAGGATGCGTCCCGAGTCCTCAAACCAGGGAGCATACATTCCCAGAAACCCTTCCAACCTGTCATTCGGTCCTATATATGGGAGCCAGATCAGCGCTTCCGAAATACGGAAACAACCGCGACCCTTCAGAAGCTACAGGCTACGGGGAGAGTATGTACTACCCATTCCACCCGCTGTCAACTTGTATCTAATTTCCATGTTAGGCGTGAGCAGCCATGGGTCGACGACCCAAGGATGAAGAAGACCAAGGTCGGCAACTGGATCACCCTTGGCTTCATCATCATCGGCTTCTGTGTCAGTGGATACATCATGTACACTGGTGTGCAAGAGGCCCAAATACCTGAGCAATGTCTTATCATGGAAGACAACTTTGAGAAGATTGACCCTGCCAACTGGGGCTACGAGATCCAGACTGGCGGCTACGGAAACGGAGAGTTTGACTGGACTACCAACGACCCCAAGAACAGCTTCGTCGACGCAGAAGGTCTTCACATTGTCCCAACCCTCACCACGGAATCGACCAGTATTACCGAGGAGCAGATCGTCAATGGCTACACACTGAACATCACCAAGGCAGACGGCGACGGCTCTTGCACATCCAGCGACTACAAGTCTTGCGGTATCCGCTCCAACTCGACCACTGGAACTATCATTCCTCCTGTTCGATCCGCACGCATGACCACCAAGGGCAAGAAGTCGATCAAATACGGCCGCGTCGAGGTTGTGGCAAAGACAGCCAAGGGTGACTGGCTCTGGCCCGCCATCTGGATGATGCCCGAAGAGGACAAGTACGGTGAATGGCCTCGCAGTGGAGAAATCGACATTGCTGAGTTCCGCGGTAACTCGTACAAGTACCCTGAGGGTCGTGACTTCGTTTCCTCTACGCTTCACTGGGGTCCCGACTACAAGCACGACGGCTACATCAACACCCACGGTACCGCCTTCTTCCGCCGCACAGACTTCGCTTCCAGCTGGCACACATTCGGTATGGAATGGACTGAGAACTACCTCATGTTGTACCTCGACAGCCGTCTCAAGCAGGTCATGTACTTCAAGTTCAATGAGAAGAACAAGCTATGGAACAAGGGTGGCTTCAACGGTCTGACTACCAGCAACGGCACTCTCTTCGAGGACCCCTGGAAGCAGGGCGGCAAGAACGCGCCTTTCGACGAGAAGTTCTACCTCATTCTTAACGTCGCCGTCGGTGCGCAAAACGGATGGTTCTTTGACGGCGAGGGCAACAAGCCCTGGGTTGATGGCAGTGACTTTGCTGTCCGCGACTTCTGGAATGGTATGTTCACACACACCTCGCAACACTATGATCACTATGCTAACTCTCCATAGCTAAGGATGACTGGCTCCCAACCTGGGGCGAGGGCACCGAGCGCGGCATGACTGTCAAGTCTGTCAAGATGTGGCAGGCCGGCAAGTGCTAGATCACCAGCGTCTGACTGCCGAACGCTCCTTCCTTTTTCTATCTGATAACCCCACGGGTCCACTTCACACTATAAACCGGGGTTCACGATCACGGACGTATCACATTTCTTTTCCACAACGTCAGTCAGGGCACAAGGGCACATTAGATGAACGTTTCCCATTTCTTTTCTTCCCTGGCATGGTAGAGGCGCCGAGGCGTCTTGGGCATCAAACGTCCACATCGTACATTTTACAGATAAGGACAAAACAATACTGTAGTATCTAATAGAATTTTTTCTCACCAATCGCTTCTATGCAATCACACCAGTCCCATGCAGCTTACGTGCAGCGGAAGTTGACAGCCTAGCGACAGGCCTCCAGCGACACGACATAACCGAATACACCGTCGTGCATAATCGCTGTATGTACGACGCATCTCGTATCCGCAATCATGGTCCCACAAGCCTCGCGAAGCATCCACTCCAGCCTCGCATCGAAGACACTCGCAGCTTCGCGTCCATCACTTGCATGTCGCGTCAGCACTCGTGTCTCACCTTCCTTCCCTGACCCAGCGAACACGCAAACAATGCACCCCCGCGCATCTCCATGTCCATCGCCCGTTCTCGCCTTTGCCCAGCTATGCATCGCACCCCTGAGAAAATCACGTACGGTATCGATGCCAAAGCGCGATAAACTTTCTGTTGAACATTCGCACTAATCTCCACACGACTTAGCCTGCGACTCAGTCTCCTAATCCAAATGCAGTAGTTGCAACGCTAATGTCGGCGAATCAGAGGCCTTGGGCGCGAGCACGACTCCCACCTGTTTAAGTTGCTGCAGGGGCTCACCGGCGGAGGCGCTTCCGCTTATCTGTACACGGGAGCGCACGAACTGCGCCGCATCATCCCGATTTTGATTGTCTTGTTCCACTTGTCCCACAGTTGGCGGGCCTGGTACCCAGTCAAGTCGGCAACTGGGAGGGTGTTTACTTTTTTTGGGACCTTCTGGGGTTGGCCGTTTCAGTCACCGCAGGAGGTTTTGTTTGCTTTTCCGAACTTCCAAGTCCACAGGCGTGGGATCAGGGGCGTGGCTAGGGTACCGAGATTCACTCATGGTTGATCTTAGGTATGATGCAAGAGGGGTTGCCTACTTGGACTACATGCCGCAGAGGAGGGGCAGCGACTAGCCAACACCCTCTCATCTCTCGTGCATATTCCAACATCATGGTGTGCTTACAATCAAGGCATCATCCACTCTGGTCTCCAACACCAATCTCCCTACTTCCAGGTTTTTTCTTGTCGCTCATCAACCGCGGCAACAGCCTTGCTAGGCAGCCACGCGAGGGATTTACCGGTGGCAACTTGTCTGCTCCATCGCCTTGCATACTGCAAGCCAGAACCCATGATGAGGCGGGCTGAGGACAATGTGGGACGGCACAATCCGCGGAGGCTTCGGCTGGGCGCCACGGTATTCCAGAAGGTGTAGATTGCAACTCGGAGCGCCACCAGGGCTTCTCACAATATACAATACTTCGTCTATGCATTGCGATGCTCGCTAGCCCTAGCAGTTGCAGCAACAGGGTAAGTACTTTTTACTTTGCGATTGGGCCGTTATCTGCCAGCTCACATCGGGCCTATGATACCTTGCAGTTCCACTCCGCTACTGCACGTTACCATGTCAATCTCGTCCTCGATTGCTCAACTACTCTATCTGTCATTCCAAGTATAGCAACCGACAATCACAGTCGCACCCAGAACCGGGTACTCAGCTACCCGACGGGCCGTCGCTGCTGCGATACGTTCCTCAACATCAGAGGCCCTGTCGCCTTACCATGACCTTGACTTGGAAATCCCTCGGCTTGACGAACCAGTAATTCGTCGTTTCCCAATCTGCAGCCTGCAGGTGGGGGGCGAGCGAAAAATCAAAGTCGCGCACCAGCATGGGGATTAGCTTGGACATCTCCAAGTGCGAGATGTGTCTTCCGATGCACGTTCGTGAGCCTAGACCAAACTGTTGCCACTTTTGTTAGCCGCTGTCCATCGTGAGAGAAAAGAGATGAAGGATTTGGTGAGGCTGGCTGAGATGGCGAAAGAGGCAATGGTGAACGAGTGGCGTTATGTTTGTGGAAACGACGACGCAGCGGTCGGCAGAAGCCGATCAAGGTGACATTCGGGTGCTACGACTTACCGGCATCCAGTTGCGGTCCATGAGACTAAGCTTTTCTTTATCGGAGCTGAGCCAGCGCTCAGGTCTGAACACGTCTGCGTCAGGGCCGAAAACAGATGTGTTGCGGTGAGCCACCCAGGAGTTGATTCCGACGATAGTCTACACAAGCAGTCAGCCTAGAGAGCGCGATTTGGCATGCACGGCAACTTACGCCCTCGGGAAAGAACTGATCACATATGCTCGCTCCTCCAGCGGGTACCACGCGCTCGAGTGGTAGGCCAGTAGCTGGGTGCATTCGCAGCGCCTCCTTCATGACGGCTTGAAGATACGGCATTTCCTGGCTTTCCTTGAATGTGATGTAGTGGCCAATCTTGCCTTCGCGCTGCCGCTCGTCGATCTCTTGACGCAGAGTCTCGAAGGTTTGCGGGAACTTGAGTAGGTAGTAGAGGATTGCGGAGAGACTGATTGCTGTAGTATCTGAACCAGCGACCATGTTCGAAACGCAGCCCATGCTGAGATGGTACATTGTAAACGCCTTGGGGTCATCTGCATTCTTCTTGAAGAATTTGGAAAGGAAGTCCATGCTTGTCTTGCCTTCCTCAATGCCATCGACGGGAATGGCTTTGGTCTGCTCCTTCTCGTGTTCCGCAATGCGCTCTTGCGTGAACTTCATGACATACGCCCTCCCAGTGCCTGTCGGACCAGCCAGCCAATTTCGGATGGGAAAGAGATATTTGTGCAGCCAGGAGAAGATGCCCGTAAAGGTAGCGTACCACAGGTGATCTTCGAGAGCCGCAATCACGCCACGGATATCCTCACCCCTATCCAAGAAGCCCAGTCGCTTCGAGTATGTGATCAATCCAATAACATCGAAGGCATAGCATTGCAGCCAATGCCCCATGTCGGCATATGCACCCGCACTCGCTACCTCCTGGAGGCGCTGGCTGAACAGGTCTGTGCACTCGTCGACGTACGGCTCGTAGCTGACGAGCGATGACATTGTGTATGCGCTTTGATATTGCCTCCGGTTCTCGCTGTGTCTTGGTATAGATTGGTCGGCGAAGAGGGACCACTGCGAGGGTGACGGGTTCTGCCAGGTTGCGTACCACGAAGACTTTGGAAATTTGGCGCCATGCCCGTAGACAGTTTTCTGAGCATCGGGAGAGGAGAGGGAGTATCGATTCGGACCGTAGCGGACTATTTCGCCTGTGGTAGTAGTGTAAGTATGGTATCGGGACAGATCAGGAACAGGCCGGCAGGGTCCAACTCACCATGCTTTCGATGCAGCTCGATGTTGTCCTGTTCAAAGCCTCCTCTTCTCACTCTCCAAAGATACCACAGGTCTGTGAATCGTGTTGCGGCTGGTCCAGGTACATTTCGCAATGGTGAAGATACATTTTTGAACAACGGAAAGAGGATGCGCGCGACAGCAGCTACGACAGCTGCGAAAGCAAGAACTTCGGAATGCATTTTGACAACCTCAGTCACAGATACAACAGCAGTCTAATCGCGATGTCCTCTTATAGCTTTCGCGACGCATTTCGCGCGATCTGCTACATGTTTAGGCTCGTCCGAAGGTTCGTTGTGCGGGGAAGCGATGACGCGCGGAGAAGGAGCGGATGGCGGGAGCGGGATGTGGAGCGGAGCCTAGCATGCTCGTACGAACATTGAACGGATTCTGGATATCTCACATCATTAGCGTTCGGCATATACTGGCCATTTCGGTGGTTGAGAGATGATACAGCGAACCGCGTTGTTGGGTGAATGGGATCGATGTGCAGACATCAAAGTCGTATAGCCGAGGTAAACGCGTCCTTGACACGAACTGCATCCGATGAAGAAGCACCACCATCCCACCATGTCAACACTAAAAGTATGCCTACGGGTTCTTCTATTTTCAGATGATCTGAATGTTCTACAGAAAGCTGGGGAACAATTAGGAGAATCAAGGTTCTCAGACTCACCAACCATCTGAGCCATTGCTGGATGCATCCTGCCCACTGATTGCATCGACACAATTTCTGTGTCGCGCGTCTACAAATATCCAAAGTTCCATTCTAGGTACAGGGCGTCATTGTATGCAACAGCATTTGTGTATTGGCCCAGACGGGTGGAACAGATACCACAGGGATTACTCTACACCCTCCTCCACATTCCGACTAGAACCCAGATCAGACAAAGGTCTTGGGGAAAACGCTCATCTATCGTGAGCACCGGGTTATTTGGAACCGAATACGTTGAGATTCCTACTTCGGCGGTCGCACTATCGGGAAGGTGCGACCGCGCAACTTTCAGTTCCAAAGCTCAGGTGGCTTCTTCATATCTACAGAGCCGAACTCGGTCTCCTCATCACAACCCTGAGGCTTCGTTCCGCAGCAACAAAGCAGTGACAGCGCTTTCCGGATACATTTAAACAGTCGACTATTTTTCCTCGGAAACCCATGGAGCTCGTACTGACCCGGTGACGTTTGTTCATGGCAGCAGCAGCAGCAGCAACATGCATCCAGATGGCTTCTATACCAGTAGCATATTTTACCTCGTGTGAAGCTGATATGCTAGTATACTTGCCGCATTCTTGTTTTTTGGTATTTCCTAGATGAAGGCTCCTTCCCCAGTGTGAGCACAGGCACGGAAGGTACTACCCAGACTTGCTGACACGCGATCACCAGTGGGGCCTTGGACCCAAGAGCCATGACAATCTATTCGGGTATGACAATGTTCCTAGCTTAACGTGTTTCCATGAGCGTCGAGCTGCAGTTTGGGTACTCAGGCGTAGGTTCTACAATGAGCAACTGATGACTGGTAACCAAATCAAAGCGCCAAAAGAATTCATGATCGCAAACGCAGTGAAAGGTATCCATTTTGTATCATGTACATACCTAGAAGGCAAGTTGCCACATGTCCGTCAAACGCTCGTTGTTCTCACCGAGCCCACCATGAATGATGACGCTGTCGTTGCCGCTCTCAGCCTTGACCACATCAGCATCAAACCAACCACGGGGGTCAGGAGTACCATCGCTGCCATCGGGTTGTAGTTGAGTCCACCACTTCTCGCTGATGTCATATATCCAGACGTCCTTCAACATCTTGCCTGCACCGGCATGACCGAGCGATGAAGGGTCATGTTCACCGAAGAGAGTAAGGAGCTTGTCTTTTCGAGCCAGCTTGACTGGCAGTAGAACACAAACACTACGAGCTTCAGGTCCATCGTTGCCATCCGCTTTGAATGTGTCAGTTGACCAAGTATTGTTGGCAAGATCGAAGACGTCGATACTACCACCCTGCTCCGTGGTTCCATCAAATCCATTCATCCTGTAAAGCTTGCCACCACTGTAAGCGATAGAAGTTCCTCCTCGATGCGGCGCCGGAGCGTCGGGGGCTTGTTTCCATGTACGTTCGTTGATGTTGAACATCCACAGATCTGAGAGACGGCCACTTGCGGGACATCCAGCATGGAGGAAGAAGGTGTCTTTGCCATCGCTAGTAGAGCAGTGATAACTGCGAGCTGGTGGATATGGCGCAGATGAATCAGCAGGCATGATCTTGGACCAGGCTGAGCTTGAGGGGTCGAAGCACCACACTGCGCCATCTTCCTCTATTGGAGCCATGTCGATGCCACCCCGACCAGAGAAAAGGTACATTTTCCCATTCAGTACAGCCGAAGCACTTCCAACGCGGGGAGTGGGCGCCGAAGAGACACCTTTCGTTTCCAAACGCTTTGCATCTGTGGCGTCGTTAGTGCTGTACCTTGATGGCCTCTTACAAAGAGGGGAAGTAATACCAGACTTGAGCGAGAAAATGTCGACTTTATCATCCAGCGGCTCCCTTGGCTTCACCTCACCACCGAAGATGCAGACATGATCGTCGATAACGGAGAGGACCTGGGAAGATCGGCGCAGACGTTCGTCGTCGAGAAGACGTTTCCAGGAACCTTTGAGCGTACTGATGGGCATCATAGGCATCGTTACAGTTTGCGAAATCTGAATTGGAACGGACAGCAATTGACTATGTCGAACTTGTAGTCCTAGGTTAGTGATATATAGCTCAGATCAAAATCGAGGATTGCGTCATGTGCGGGTGGTAATACACCTGCTGTTTGCAGTGACATGCCGGTGAATCTAGAAGTGGAGAAGGGGCTAATCAAATAGGGTTAGGCTCGAATGCAGGGATCGTCATCGCCCTAGCTCCTTCCAAAAGTTCGCGACCATCGCATTTGACGCGCGAACACATGCGCCTCAACACGCCATCATGAGGCTTCGACTGACGGTCCAGCGGAATGGCTTGCCTGCCGCCAACATACTCTGGAGCGTGCCCGAAACGAACAGCACGCAGGCATACACCATTACGCGTCTGCTCGAGGATGTCAACCACATTATCCCGCTAGAGGCCGAGCACTGGGGCCTGGAGCACTATGTCGTCGAGGTGGGCGGCTTCGAGTGCCTGCACTTTATGCCCGTCACGAATGCGCTCAAAGAAGACGATCATGTTTCGTACGTGATTCTAAAACCTCTACACTAACATCTGCTAACAGCCTACCAGCATCCGCCCACTCATGACTGCCGAAGTACGCGCGCGCACCCTCACCGGCCGTGATCAAATATCAGACGGAGGCCAACATCTCGTCGATGGCGTTCCCTTCGGTCGACCCTACCTGCGCCAACCAAATCGACCTGCTGTTCGCATACCTCCGCGCAAACGACGCCGACTGGACGATGGGCAGTCCGACGATGATACTGAAGCTGTGGGACTTCTAACGGAACATGGAGAACCATCCGAAGCGCGCGACGATGTTGCGGCGCTGAGCGGTCACAAAGGGTCGGGGAATAAAGCATCAAGGGCGCAACGGGTAGTCAAGTCGGTGCAGTTCGAGCAGCCCGAAATTGATGATTCGGACGACAGCGAGGAAGATGATGATGACTTTGCACCCGAAGAAGCAGAGGAGGAGGCGTCCTCTTCAGACGACTCGGACTCGGACTCAGACTCAGACTTAGATTCCGACTCAGAGGCAGACGCAATGGCAAAGGCAAAGTCGGACGCGTCGTCTAGTGCCTCAGATACTTCGGATTCAGATTCAGAGACAGACACCTCGAGCGATTCCGACTCCGACTCCGACGATAGCGACGCAAGCTCCCCGCCCGATGTCTTGTCTTCCAAAGACGGTTGCAAGACCAAAGCAGCCACAACGCATGTACCCCCCGGAGATGGACTCAAAGCTACAAAGCTGAGGAACTCGCGACGTACAAGAGCTAATCGTCTGCGTAGTCTCAAGGCGTCTGGCAAGCTTCCCGGAACCGCTACGTTCAGTGACCTGACCGCCTACGAAGACGGCAGGTATGGTCTGGATGAGGAAGAACCTCGACACACACAACCTTTTGCCAAATCCCAAGGCAAGAGAAAACGATTAGACGAAGATGAGCCGGCAGAGGAGGTCGCGGAAGACACGACAGAGCTGGAGCGAAGGAAACGGGACCTGATGGCGAGGTTCGGAGAAAGCACAGAAGCGACTGCACCAGCGGACGAGGCCATACAGCCAACGACTCCGGTCGCTGAGAAAGCCACTACTACCCTAGTGGAAGAAGAGCCACCGGCGAAGAAAGAGCCTACCTCCAGAAGACTGCGACCAGACACCCGCGCCATTGGTCGGATACTTGCTCGACAGGCTGGGCCTGTTCGGAAGACAAAAGCGAAGGCACCGACACCTGAGCCTGAAGAGTGGTCAAACCCCGATTTCTGGAAAACCCGAATCAACCTCTCGGCGTTTGAATGCTGGGAAGAGGACTTTGAGCTCAGCGCTCCGCCCTTCCCGTTTCAGCAGCACTGGGACCCAGCCAGCAAGCTTATGCATGACAAAGCTAGAAAAAAGAAGCAAAAGAGGCGGAGTAATGTGCAGCAGGAGGCAACACCAGTAGAAGAAGAGGAGGAAGAGAAGATCATCTTAGACTACGACGATGCCCCCACAACGAACGCCGACTCTGAGTCCATCAACGCAGCCGTCGAGGACCAGCTGCGCCAAGATCTTGCAATGGCTGCGCAGTCTGATCTGCCACCACTTCCTGAAGACATGAGCACCCTGCCAGATCTCACGTCGTCCGACATGAAGGCTGGTGCGGTCATCGCCTGCAAATTCTTTACCGTGAATCCCGTCACTGTTACACCCGAGATTAGCGGATACAAGACAGCTACTGTAGAGCAAGAAGGCGACTCAGGCCCTGGTGCGGGTACGATCCAGCTCAAGATTGCTTTGCGCGATCTCCCAAAGAGGGAGAAGAAGTTTGACAGCAAGGGCAATCGCATCTACAACGCGGCCGACGCTCTCCTCATGGAAGAGGACGACGAGGATGAGGGCTTGTGGGAAGGCTCATTTGGCGAGTTACTTGAAGCGAAGCTTGTGAAGGCTGCATAAGTGATACCACGAGGTATGTGTCGTTGCCTGGTCGACCATTCGTATGGTTATCGGCCACATGTAACACCCTCTATCTTACTTCATCGTGCATCTTTCAATATACCCAATTTCATCTACTTTTGACCTTTGGGTATGTGCACGGTCCGCGAATCCGAGTGTGGTGTCGCGAACTGAAGTTTGGTGAGGTTACCCCGCCGAACGTCATGCAAACCCCTCCAGGTCCAGAAGCTGCAGAGCTGACAGCCACCGGCACTACTCTCTTCCACGGGATGAGTTTCCCATGGCGAGCGTCTCATGTACACAGGGTCTTTGCCTGCGTTTGATGTTTTCTACGAGCTTTCGCCCGCGGTGTGACTTCCCTTCGGAGCAAGTTGCCCGCGCCCGCTATTCCTCGGCGCCCCCAATTCAGGGTCTTAGCTCCAAAATTGTAACTGCCGTGGCCCACTAGCTTCATGATTAGACGCGGACGGGTACGTTATGCCATGGAGGACCGACGAGGCCGTGTACGAATTTTCGGCAGATGCGTCCCGTCTCGTCATCTTATTGCTAAGCCTCTAGCCAAACTACAGCATCATTGTGTCTGACAGACAAACTATCGCATAGCAAAAACCACAACATCTCATGTAAGTCTTGACGCTGCGATAGTGGCACAGCATGCTAACCGTCGTACAGAACTAGACACAATGCCTCTTCCCACTGGTGTATATCGGGCCGACCACGTCGGCTCCTTCCTCCGCCCCAAAGCCGTCCTCGAAGCGCGTACAAAGGCAGCCAACGGTGAGATCACCGCCGACGAGCTCCGCAATGTCGAAGACGAACACATCAAATACGTCGCAAAGAAGCAAATAGAGAGCGGTCTCCGATCCATCACCGACGGCGAGTTCCGCCGCGCATACTTCCATCTAGACTTCCTCAAGCACGTCGAAGGTATCGAGGAGAAGGGTCAAGTGGGAAACATCAGGCACAAGGATGGCTTCTCGCCACCAACGCTGGTCGTAAAGGGAAAGCTGGCCCACCCCGAGGCCATTCAGGTCAAGGATTTCCAGTTCCTTGAGCAAGCGATCAAAGAGAATGGCGGCAAGGCGAGCACAAAAGTCGCCATCCCATCGCCAACAATGGTGCATTTCCGTGGTGGACGCGCCTCGATCGACATCTCCGCATACCCCGACCTTGATGTCTTCTTCGAGGACCTCGCGCGCGTATACCAGGAGGAACTAGACAGCCTGTACAAGGCCGGCTGCCGCTTCGTCCAACTCGACGACACCAACCTGGCCTACCTGTGCGACCCCGACATGCGCAAAGCCGCCGAGCAAGAACGCAACGAAGACCTCAGCACCCTCCCCCGCAAATACGCCGAGCTCATCAACAAGGCCATCGAGAAACGACCCGCAGACATGAAGATCGGCATCCACCTCTGCCGCGGCAACTACCGCTCCAAGTGGTTCGCCTCTGGCGGCTACGAGCCCGTCTCAGAAGTTCTCTTCAAGGAGCTCAACGTTGATGCCTACTTCCTCGAGTACGACGATGCGCGATCTGGCGACTTCTCCCCGCTGCGCCATCTGCCCGAGCACAAGGTCGTTGTGCTCGGTGTCATGAGCAGCAAGAAGAACACCCTAGACGACAAGGAGGAGATCATCAAGAGGCTACATGAGGCGGCTAAGGTTGCCCCCAAGGGTCTCGATCAGCTTTGCGTGAGCCACCAGTGTGGATTCAGCTCCACAGCTGAGGGTAACGAGTTGACGGAGGAGGAGCAATGGGCTAAGGTGAAGCTGAGTGTAGAGATTGCCAAGCAGGTCTGGGGCGATGACATTAGCAAGTAAGAAGAGTTTTGTTTCGGTTGGGGGAGTTTGCGGTGCTGGTACTGAGATGAAAGCATGAGTACGGTGTTGTGTAAAAGTGGTCTGATCAGGTCTCAACGACTGATCCATGTATGTATTATGAAGTAACGGTTCAACCCCAGTGAGATCAAATGTATCAAATATAACAACATTGCCGCGTCATCACATGTCAGTGACATAATGAACAGCTGAAACCAGGCGGCCTTTTGCTCTGCAGTTCGCAGATCTCGTGTTGAGCGTTTTACTCAACAGGGTGGTCTTGCTACCCAAACCACAAGCTGTCATGGATGTTGCCTCTGCTGTTTCAGTTCCCTTCTACCTCTACAGCATACTTCTGTATGTCGCTCTTGTAAACATCTCTAAACAACCCCGGAATATCAAAGAAACAGACCTCGAAATATTTCGGACCACGATACTCCTGTTCTCGGTGCACGCGACAAACGTGAAAGTGCGTTATCAGAGCATCGAGTAACACGTTGATATTGTCATAATAGGCGTCTTTTCTGCTCTTGTTTGCATGGCCGTCACGGCAAGCCTGAGGAAGTACGGCTGGTGTGAGAGGCCCACGTTTCTGGTAATTTCGACCGAGGTAGACATGCCAGAGCGGTAGCTTCCTCAATCTCTGGTATATCGACTTCCATGATCCGTCCGTTAAGGTCGCTTCCGTTGCCTCGAACCACACCAATTTCTCGGCGCGCTTGAGAAATCCTCGGAGTCGGCTACCACTTAGGTACAGATCGGAAAGCTCTAGTGACTGCAAATGCTCGTACGAGCGGGCCATCATGTGTGTAGAGAATAGACTTTCGCAGCCATGGCATATCCTAAGCTCAGGAACTTCGTTGCACCCTAGGAGTTGTAGGCGTTCAACACTAGTAGTGGCAGCAACAACTTTCAATACATCGGGATGGACCGGGCGCACATTCTTGATGAGAGCTCCAACTTCGCGACTCTTCGCAACATCTCTGCCGTATGCATTTGGTGTTAAGAAGACAGCTTTCTTGATCCAAGGTCGAAATTCCGACAATGAGTCTGCAAACAGCCGCCATTCGGGCTTCTGAGAGTTCTCCAGCCAGAGGTAGACATAGGCGACCTTCTCTGGAAACTGCGACAGCTGCAGTGCTCGCAGCACAGTTGTCTGTTCACTTACAATATGAGTCCCAAAGGGTAGCTCTAGCTCGATGAAAGAGTCCACGTCTTGATGCTGTCGGAAACATTGGGCGAGCATATGGGCGGCTTCACCGGACCTCACAAAGCTGTACTCGTCCTCGTGTAGCAGATACCATTCGTAGTCGCTTGTCGTCTTGGGTTTTTTGAGCGGGCATACAGTTATGCGCACCATTCGATTGCGGAGGGCGGGGATACGAGACAAGTGTAGGAAGAGAGTAAGCGACGACGGCTCGAGATCAAAGCAGCATTCCTGGAGGCCGTACCGAATACTTGCGTCGAACTCGGTCCTAGCGTAGATGGCTTTGCATGTCGATCGCAGCGATCCAAAGTCTCTGTTCTTGTATGAATACTTGTTGTTGTTGGTACCCGACGCTCGTCCGAGGAAGCGACACACTCGACTGAGAAGCTCTACTGGAAGCTCGATCAAGTCCATTTTGTCTTTTCGCTGGTGGTCTGATCAGACGATTGCCTATATGGTCTCCAGAGGGTAGGTCAAATGATGCTAGGTTGAGGGATTGTTTTATGTTGACCGAACGTAGAGAGCCAGAATTGCTGTAGTCCAGACGTTAAAAGCTGCCGCTGCCTAGGTGATAAAGCCTGTCCGTGCACCAACGATGACTACATGATTTGGTCGGACCACCAGTGAATATCGTCGACTATTCTGGAGTTGCTCTACGAGCTACGGTTATGAGGATGTAGCCTGCGCTCTCATATCTGTCTGCTAGCCGCGCACTGGTAACAGTACGCGAGCATGTATTAAAAGAATACGACTGAACCTAGAGAATACGCATTGTGTTCTTTGGGTGAATGTACAGAGGAATGAAGAGAGAAGGAGCACCCAAGGAGAGTGGAAGGGATGATGTCACCGCGCTAGGCCGGAAGAGAGTGTCGCTCTTGCTTCAGTTGCACTTGAGCAGGCATTCCTCCCACAAACTACTCCATACATCACCGAGACTAGATATGAAGACTTTGTTTATCGGTGCTTGTTTCGCTGGCTTCTCTTCAAGGACCCATGGCCCGAAGGATGTGTCCACCCGTCTCCCGGCGCTTCTATCGACGTCAGCAGCCAGATGTCCCGCAAGTGCACTGACGCTTGCTGAGTAATAAACAAAGAGAGATGTACCCGAGATGAGAGGTGTTAGAAGAGCGCTAGTGACAAGTTCCTACGACTTATATGCAGAGGCAAAGAATAGATGTAAAACACTCATATCGTGATGGTGGACTTTTGGACGAAAGTGAGTTTACATTGACTATGCGATCGACCGTAAAGCGCAACTATCAAACAGAAACATGGCCAACCATGTGGTAATGACTGTCCTGAGACCTTTGAAGGCTCTACAAATATTGCCCATCGTCATCGACATTCCTCCCCTACTCCATCCACAGAGTTCGTTCAGCTTCGAGACCTTTCCGCATAGTGATTATAGGGCTGAAACTCTATCTAAGCAGCAGCGACCATCTCGCGGCGGGCGAACCTGAGGCTCCTCTTCTTGAGGGCAAGGCCCTGGTACTTGTCGATGCAAATAGTAAGAGTTCCGGACAGGGCGCCTGCTTCATCCTTGAGATCGGCGGCGCGGGCCTCGAAGGTATCAATCAACATGAAGGCAATCGTCTGCGAAAGGCTGTTAGCGAGCAGACTCAAGGAATTACGTTGGAGTTCAACAGATAGTATCGGAGCGGGCGCTAGGCGTGAAAACTACAAGAGAGGAAAGACTTACATCAACGACCTGTTCGACCTGTCTGAGTACGGCCGCAACTGGCTGACCGATGAAAGGAACAGTCTGGAACAGACCAGCCTTGCCAATGAGGATGTTGAGGAGCGCTTGGTGAACACGGACAAACTGTTTCTCTGCGTAAGCTACATATAGATTTCAATGGGATCAGACAATACTAACCTCGCGGAAGGCCTCAAAGACAGCATCGGTAGAAGCACCTGCGGGCTCTTTGGGCATGCCCTGCATCTGGGCGATGGCGGTGGTGGCGGTCGTCACAATGTCCGAGAAGCCGAGGATGATTTTAGGAAACGGTCCCTGTCCGATCAAGACCAATGGGCCATTGACAAGGCTAATATCTTTAGCTGGTGCCTGTAGGGCCAGGCTCTTCTGCGTGATCGACTTGATGTTGGTGACAACCTCAGCGGGCGTGATAGCAGCCGAGATAGGCACGGAGAAGGCCAAGGCGGCGGTGAAGAAGTTGCGGAATGAGACCATGATTGCGGTGGGAAGAAGCTGTGAAAGCGGTTGTTGGTGGTAGATGGTAGAAGTGAGGAGTGATGATTGCAGATGAAGGTGTGCGATACCTTCTTTTCATGGGAGACTGCGGTGTCTTTATACTCGACGTGCGATGTAGCCAAGCTCGAGTCAACGGAGCAAATGCTTCCCGTAGTCCTGAACGACAACTAGATCCGCTGATCCTCCTGTACACCGCGTTGAGATGCCAATCAAGCCCATAACCCAGAAGGTGGGTGATGTAGCGTACACTACTGTCAAAAGAACAAAGTTTAATGACAAGTGAGGCTATGCACTACAACCCACTTTGCCTTGACCGAACACACTCAGATACTTGCATGTAGGCCTCTGAATCAGTTGGCAAAAGTTGCTTGCACGTTGATCATAAGAGATTATTGATAGGAGTATGGCATAAGTTGACACGTTGTATCGTATCGTGTTGAAACAGCTTTCAACTATCGTCGGTAGCCACTCTGCTCTCAGCATTGTGGTTGATGTTACCTCACAGTGATTATCGACAGGGTCTACCGAACTCGTCTCTGGCAGAGAGATCTGCCATGATCCATCGCCGAGTGGGGCTTTTGCGGCTGAATCTGCACATGGCATTGCGATCATCGATTTCCACTACTCTCATCTAATACATGATCAACAATTTACTCCCAGTGAATCAAGAGACGCCGTATTGGGTAGAGAGCACTAACCGATCTCAGGGCTAAGGGGCTCATGTCACTTCCCAACTTGCAGGGTGAGCTCAGACTACCCCAAGATTAGCCTTGCAGTAGCATAGTAGATCGCTACCTTCTGCGAACAAGGCTTCTTGTCGACGTGCCCGAGTTCAGCTGAGGTTGTTCAGTTAGTAGCTCTTTGTTGGCAAGCGGCGCCCCACTGGAAAGGATGTAGTAGCGGTATCTACGGGTCGGCGATCCTTCTGCGGGCGTAGCCGTCGAACATCAGTGCGATGATGCAGCCGCCCGACATGCAGAAGCAGGCACCTACGATCGTCCAGTCAGAAATCCCAGCAACGAAGTAGGGTCGCCGAGCCTTATGCAGATCTGCTTTTTCCGTGTCCGGAGCGGCCGCAACCAATGCCAAGTCACGTGGAGGCCTTTGTTGCCCCTCGTGTAGATGGCAATCTAGTCTCACAATGTACAACGGCATGCAGGTGACTACCTGGAAAAGGGAAATGCGACATGTTCGCTGCGTGGCGCGGTCCGCCAAAAGCAACACAAAGGGTCCGGCTGATGTGTTGTTGTTTCTTTTGTCCAAGTCAGGGCTCGGAATAATGCCGAGCCCGCTGAGTCGCGGACGCTCGCCGACACTAGCCGTACAGACAGCTCCTATACTTTGGCGAGGAGCTAGCTCCTGTGCTCTCATGGTAGCTCAACTTCGGCGACTTCGCTGCACAATTTCTGCTGATTTGTAGCGACCGGAATACTCAACACATGTCGATTAGGAAATGAGAGACATGGTAATAAGAGTGAATGTCCAGATAGGTATAAATCGGCCGATCCTTCCCAGATAGCTACGTCAGCTCAAAGTTTAGTGAGATCGTACCTTAGGCCAACACCATTAGCCGCAAAAACCACCGGTATATTGCCGGCGTACTTGATGTGATGCCAGCTTGTGCTTAACCACCAACTAATTGCAGAGGCTCATTTGCTGCGGGTATTCACTCGCGACCGTTGTGACCAACCCTGTAAGCTACCAAACTTCTAAATAGCCTCCATGAACAAAGCAACGAGAACGAAAAAGCACGTTGGCAATTTACACCAGTAGAAAGCACGATGTCGGGTGTTCCGTACTGTCTGCACTGCCATGTAACTTGCGCGTGCCTAGACGAAAGGCTCTGACACAGGACGCTAAACTCCACATCCTGACGCCACTGGGCAGAACTCACTTTGATGTTGTACTGAGTCGGGCTCAATACGCTGATTGATTCTTACTGGCTTCTTTCATGTACGAGCCAGTCTTTTGTGAAGTCGGCCGTACTTCTACAGACCTCCAAACGGACTACGGCCACGTACAGCAGTGAGTGGAAGACTTACCATGAACCTCAATTACAAGTGCGTGTGCATATAACATGTCTGGGTAGTCCTCAACTAGGCGCTCAGACTCCAACCCCATCATTAACGCACCAACAAACGTCAAGCAAAGACCATAAACGAGACAGTCCTCATCCATGTGACGGCGCCACATCGTCACCTCAATATCGAACTCCGCCAACAAGAATGCGATCCAGCTCTCGATCTCTCAGGTGTCAAGAAGTCGTGAGGCGCCTCCGCATGACAGCATCTACCATTATAGATGTTTGGTCGAGGCTAAGCTCCTAGTCCTCCAAGCAGAAAGGCACCTTCTACTTTCAGCCTCCCGTCCGTGTTTCTTTACTTTTTCGTTCTTCGCAATTACAGAGCGGGCTTTCGTAGCTCCTCTCGCTGCCGTCGGAGGGGTTGAACCGAGTTGCAAGCGCCTTGCTATAAGACATAGAAAAGCAAACACTGACAGACATGATGAAGGCTAGCCAAGACAACATCGGTTACCCTTAGGTCACTACAAGACAGCTGTCAGTGTGTAGCGCATACTTACGATGTTGTCACTGTTCTGAAATTGTTCCTATGTTGAGCAAGCGGTGCTACCGGAAGCCTTATTCCCAAGGTCGTTATTACATCCATATGCTCTTAGTAGAGCTTCCCCAAAATCTGAACGCCAGCATATTACATAGACTAAATGAAATTAACGCCCCCAGAACGAGGTCTGCATTCAATATGGCAGATGACCCATAGCCCTCATGCAGTCGGCAGACGTGCCAACAACGGTAGGACGTCTTTGAACCTCACTGGCTTGAGAAGGAACTCGTCAAAACCGCTATTCTTCGCTTGCTTTCGCGCTTTCTCGCTACCAAGACCCGTTAATGCGAAGATGTACGCCCGGGTACCTCTCTCTTCCTCTAGAGTGCCATCTAAACCATGTTTCGCAGCGTCATCGGACTGTCTTGGTATGCCTTTTTCCAGCAAACCGTGTTCGATTCCACGAATCTTTGATACGGCTTGGAAGCCATCCATAACTGGCATGCTGATGTCCATGAAGATGCAGTCATAGTTTGCTTTTGGGTCCCCTTGCTCAGTGGCGGTTCGATAGAGACGCACCGCTTCTGCGCCGTCGGTGGCACTGGAATACGGTACGCCGAGGCGTTTTGCAAAAGCGCATAGCATTTTTAGATTTATGGGGTTATCGTCTACCAAGAGCAGACGGTGGAATCGGCATGTCGGGCTGCTTGTAAGCGGGGTAGGTGGTTGTGTTGGTAATGGTGCTTGTAGAGCAGGACTTGTGGCGGCGTCGGCTCGTGTCACACGCTGCAACGATAAGCTGCGGTGTGGAAGTACTTTGGTTTGCGGGTCTGGCTCTAGCATTGTGTCGGCATGTTCTAACGGCTCTGTTGGCTCCATGTCAGGTCTGCTTCTGACTTCTATGGACGGCACTGCCTTCTCCTTGGTAGTGACATCCTTCATAGCCGAGATGAGTGCAGGTCCGAGCGAGTTTGCAGTGACTAGTACCGTGTGCATGGCCTTGCTAGTGCCAGATTCGGGAGGTGCGCCTTTAATATTGCGCAGGTCGACCATGACCGGGTAAGTCCCTCCCGTATACGTAGGGAACAATGTTTTCAAGTCGTACGTGAGTGTCGAAGAGATGGCATGGTGATCGATGAGGAGTACATCCAGAACCGGAAGTGTGTCTGTGGAAACAGTGGTGAACCTCATGCCGAAGCGATCCTGGCAGATATTTTGAACGGCCCGCTCCAGCGCTTCGGGAGGCGAATCGATAGAGGGGGCAAATTCTTTGCCTTGCTCTTCGGGTAGAGAGAGACTGAGCATACCGATTGCCTTTCCGCGTAGGCATTCGTGAGAGGAAACGTTCTCGCTACGTGGCGCATTTGGTGTCTGCGCCGTTTGACTAGCCGGAATGTTGATGATGATCTTCGTTCCCTTGCCCAAACGACTAGAGACTGATATAGTTCCGTGTAGTGACTCCACGATGCTCTTCACTAAGCTCAAACCTAGCCCAGTTCCTGGACTTAGTAGATTCTCCTGAGTGAAGGGTGTAAAGAGATGGTACTTGAGGAAATCCTCACTCATGCCTACACCCGTGTCGGTCACAGAAAGACTGATTTGTGACTGACTGTCATCGGCAGCCTCCATGAATGCTAGACCTACGTGAATGTAGCCCGACTTGGTATACTTCAATGCGTTGCTGACGACATTGAGTAAAATGCGCTTCCAAGCACCCTTGTCAATGACAAAGGTCCAATCACGGGCCTTTTCAATGCGTGTGGTGACGACGACAGGCTCGGTTTGTGCCGTTGCGGGCGATCCTGCCAACAAATCTTGACGCTCTTTATTAAGTCCAGAAGAGAGGCGCGAAGAATGGTCATGACCTACAGAAACAGTCCCAATGACATCTTCGACCATAGAAGCCAAGTCGACAGCTACTGCACCGTGATGAACGTGGGTGGTGGAACGAGGATCTCCATTTCCGCCTCTTTGTCCAACGCTGGCGCGGCTATTCACTTTGGAATATTCCAACAGATGGTCAAATGTATCGAGAAGAGTAACCGCACAAGACTCAATCATGGAGATCTCCGACATCAAACCAGATCCCTGGCAGTTTTCTTGGATCAGCTCAATGCTGGCCAAAATGCCATGCAAGGGACTTCGTAACTCGTGACTGATGGTCGAAACAAAGTCCGACTTGGAAAGTGTATTTTCGCATGCTTCTAAGCGAAAGACCTCAGCCATCAGTGAGTTACCGAAAGCTGTCAATGAATTGACATCGCCAGTATCAAGTGTTTTGCCGGTGTCAGATACCCAGGCTAGGCAGGTTGCGTAACAAGCTTCTCTTGAATAGTGAAACATAGGCAGGAATATTACGTAGCGGGTCTTTGGCAATAAACTGAAGAGATCATTCCATCTGTCATCCGCACCAGAGTCAAGTTCGCCATCGCAATCGTGTTGGAAGACCCCATGTTCATCGACTGCGAAGACATGCCCTCGAGGGTACTTGGCAGTCAAGCGCTGGATGAGCGACTGACGCAATTTCAGCTGTCCGGGGGCGTTATCTCTGTGGTAATAGGACAGAGGTACCGCAAAGAGATCGCATGTTGGCGAAGATGTATTGTCAGGAGACATGTCTCGTACCTGACAACCTTTGTTTCGGGTGCCAGTTGAAACGGTGTCAAAGAAGACTAGGCCATCCAGACCCATAGCATCGCCAATACTATCTGCGGCTTTCATGAAGAGAGTGTCGACTTGAGTAGCAAAGTCAGATTTGACCCGTTTTGAGACATTATCTTGGGGCGAAACGATAACAGATGCATCGCAAACAGGCAATGACTGAACATGGTCTGGCATGGTGACGCTTGCATTCGTGCCGTCGGATAGCTTCTTGTCAGGTTTTCTTCGCGAGGCGGCGCCAAAAACATCTAGGTCGAATTGGCTTGTGTGAGCTCCAGGGCGCACAGGGGCCACAGACCTTGGAACCATGTCATCTGAAGCTACGAAGCGGCGAAGACCATGCATCATCTCAGCAGATCGAGACTTACAAGCTTCGGCGCGTCGCATATCGAGGTATGCACTGATAGCCGAGGTAGTTTCGCGAAGAGTGCTCAGCGACTTGGGATGCAGAAAGTCCCGTTCTTTAGTGTCAACAACACAGTAGCTGCCCAATATGTGCCCAGACATTGCAAACAGCGGTATCTCGAGGTATGAAACCATGTGCGGGTAGCCAGCCACGAACGGGCGCTCGGCAAATGTGGGAACCTGGCGAAAGTCTTTTATGCAGAAATACGACTTGTCGGCAATGATATAGGGACTGTCCGGCATAGGCACTGGTTTGCCCTGGAAGATGCACATGGTGAATGGGCAGACGCCCCATTCGAGAGCGATTCGCGAAGTACCCAGCAAGAGCGGCTCGGCCGGGTCTGCACTCGAAAGCGACTGGTGCCTCGTCATCTCTGCGCATATGAATTGATTTCGATTATCAATGAGCGAAAGGAATGCGCGATCGCAGTCCATCTTGTGCACGCCATGCTGGACGAGGGCGTTGAGGGTTATGTCGCTGCTGGGGACTGGTTCGGACGGCGGTCCTTCTGGGATGTGGAAGGGGAACGACGCGGCAGAGAGATATCTAGGGCCGTGTTAGCAACAGGAATCGGCAATGTGACGTCGGCTGGCAATTCTCACGCGGCGATCTCGTATGCGCGTACCCGTTCGTGGTTATCGATAGCTGCGGGTGGCGTCGTGGTCGAGATGGGCGCGGTCGTAGCCATGGTCCATTACGTCACTCACATAGAATGAAGACTGCTGGTGCTGCGTGCGACGTTTGCGCGGGCCCCAGCAGTCTTCTGGGCTTTAGCAGGCAGTCTTGGCGTTAGTCAGCCAACACATAAACGGCCCGTAAAACCAAAGCTGCCATGCTCAAGCACGGCTTAATTTCTCGTCAAATTCATCGGATCGTGATGTCTCACAACAACGCTAGCCTAACACGGGTTCCGCGGCTGCATAGGGCTAGACGCTCAGAGACGCGTATTCGTCGCACACTTCAGTCAACTTCCTTCTCGTCCCGGGCTCCATAACACTGTGCCCAGCGTCGTCTATGAAGTGCAATCTGCTCTCCGGCCACTGCTTGTACAACTCCCAGGCTGTAACCGGCGGGCAGACAACATCGTACCTGCCCTGCACGATGGTCGTCGGAATGTTCCGGATCCGGTCCACGTTCTCCTTCCTCAACCTGCAGGACAAAGTCAGTAATCATCTGCATTCCGTACAGCCAAGACTTACAGCTGCCCGTCTTCCATCCATGCTTTGTTGATGAAGTAGTGGATCTCCATCCTAGCATGTGCGAGCAGATAGGCTGGTTCTTTCAGTTTCTTGTACGCGTGTGGGTCAGGATACAGGGTGCTGATTGATAGCTCCCACGTGTTCCACGCCTCAGCCGCGGGATGACTGATAGACGAGTCCGAAGACATGAGGCGTTTGTGGTAGTTGCCGATATGATCGGAACGTTCTTCCTCTGGTAAAAACTTGATAAAGTCCTCCCAGCGGTCGGGAAACAGCATTTGCGCGCCGCCTGCATGGTTGGTCCACTTGAGTTCGATGTCTCGCACGGTGAAGATGCCGCGCAGGACTAGACTACCTACACTATCGGGGTGTGTTTGCGCATATGCTAGAGCGAGTGTGGATCCCCAGGAGCCACCAAAGACCATGTGCCATTTGGAAAACTTCAGATGCTTGCGCAGCTTTTCGATGTCTTCGACGAGATGCCAAGTAGTGTTGTCTGTTGTGTTGGCATTAGGGCGCGATTGACCACAGCCTCGCTGGTCGAGCAGAACCACTCGGTATTCAGAGGGGTTGAAGAAGACCGTGTTGGTTTTGGAGCAGTTCCCGCCAGGCCCACCATGGAGGTAGATGACTGCAAAGCGTTAACTATCAGGAAAGTTGGACAACATGGCTGACACTTTTACCAGGCTTTCCGTCCTTCTTGCCAAACTGTTGATAGTAAAGTTCATGGGTGTCATCCACCCGCAGCCAATTCACGTCCCAGGCATCCTCATGCTCGTAGCTGGTGAACTGGAGTGTTTGAGCCATCGTGCCTTAGTAGTAGATAGAAAATTTGCGGCGAGACAAGAAGATGAAAGAGCTTTTGTAGTCGACGTGTGTGCAAGACAGTCATACTGGTAGTGATGGAGTCAGACACCCAGGTACGACTACCCCGCTTTCAGTATAGTGGCCCCGCTGCTTCAAGAACACCTTCCTATTCTGCTCCCAGAATGCGACTGACTAACGGCAGCAAGCGTGCGAAAGATGCAATTGACACGCTCATATTTAAAATACACATTATTGTATGTACTGGATAATAATGACGTTGGCGACAAGGACCTAATACTTAAAACCACCTGCCCTGGTGCTCCACAAGCCGTTCGGGTCAACACTCTTCTGCAATGCCTTAAACTTGTTGTAATCCTTGTAGCTCTGGAAAACTGGCTGGTCCCACATGGCATCGTTGATGAATAATGGCATGTACATGTCGCTTGGCATACCCGCTTCTGCTATCCATTGAGGCACGACCTTGTCTAACCAAGCCGTCAATTCCCTGGCGATGCCAAACGCAAGAGCGTCGTCTGTGGGCAAGTTCCACGCTCCTTGGTAGATTAGGATGATGCGGTCAGGGTCGGAGGACGAAAGTCCCATGGCGTTTCCGCCCTTGGACTCGGACACCTTTCCAAAGCGGGATGGAAGAGGTTGGAAGTCAACGCTGAACTGGATGGCGCGAACGACAGGTAGGGTGTTGAGGAAGATACCAGTGAGTTCAGCAAGCTTGTCGCGAATCTCCTTGTACATCTGAGGCCGGGATGCAATGTATGGGACAGTGTAAGTGCGGAAGAATGCGCGGGCGTTCAAGAGTCGGACTGGCTCGCCGTTTGCCTTCAGCTGAGAATCGTTAGGTGCCATACGGCACATTGAAGTTGGATTATAGACTTACTAGCTCAGAGTACTTTTGTGTCTTGGGTAGACACAAAGGGTTGACGATCTTGAAGAAATCGGCAAACGGACCCGATGTAGGTGGCTTAGGGTTGTCGTAAAAGGAAAAGAGAATTTTCGTCTTGATTCCAGCTGCGACTACGAGGTCCGTAAGAATGATAGCCGCCTTGGGGTCTTCGGCACCGTGTGCCATGAAGTTGTGCAAAGCAGCGTATAGTGCGTCGGATTTTGAGTCGTCGAAGACACACGAGCCACCCCAGACGTCGCCCATGTGATGGACTTTAGTCTTGAACTGGGTGACAATACCGAACTGGCTACCGGAACCACGCATAGCTTGCGCAAGGTCGGGATGCTTTGCAGCATTGACGTTGACGACAGACCCGTTCGCCATAACAGTCTCCCATTCGATGATGTTCTATCGCTTGTTAGCATAGCTGCCCTTTGCATATAGCGGAAAACTGACATCGGCTGCAAGACCCTCTTGAGCACCGAGGAAGGAAAGACCTCCACCGAGCAGCAGACCAGCGACACCGACGAGACCGAGTCGTCCTCCAGCGATTGCCACGCCGCTCTTCTCAAGGTCGCCAATGACGTCGTTCCATTCGCCACCGGGTCGGACGTAAGCAACATCTTCTGCTGCGTCGTACGTCGCTCCGACTAGATTGGTCATGGCGATGAGAACACCGTCTTGGACCGCAGCATGCTGCTTGTTTGGATCGTGACCTCCGCTCCGTGTAGCAAGCTTGACAGTCGGGTACTTGTTCAAGATCTTGATAGCAATGGACACATCTTGGGCAGAGTCTGGTTGAACAATGCATGCAGGATCGACTTCGCGGAGATTGGTAGCCCAGTATTGCTGCGTCTCATGTGCGTATTCGAGCTTGAGAAGTCCCGGAGTGAGGACTTTTCCTGGAAGAGCATTGTTGATTTCGTTACACGCTTTAGTAGTGGCCTCTGTGGGAATAGCAAAGGCGGATTGGGCTCCTAACAGGAGAGTCGCAAGAGCGAGAGAGATGAACTTGTCCATGTCTGGAAGTGAATGAGTGTAAGGAACGAGCGAAAGATGGACGAAAGCGCAGAAGAACGAACGCAGCCTACAGACCACCTCTTGATGAGCGATGTGCCTTAAGTACTACAATGTGGGCTTCTTCGACGTTAGGTTTAGCTGTCTCCGGTCTTGGTTCCGGACGCCATGGCAGCCATGCAGAGAGCAGCACATGTACACAAGCTGGGGAGAACCATGGCTAGGGCAGATCGCGTGGAAGAATCGCAAAATACGGCAAACCCCCTCCAATGGCGACGCATGAAATGAGGAATTGAGTGCAGATCATGTGTGAGTCCCTGCGAAGCTTACGGTAATGGGCCCGACATTTGAGGGGAATCGACGCACACCGTCGTAAAACTATATGGTTTGCTGGATTGGGCATTTAGCCTGGATAGGATAAGGCGAGCCCAGTATTGGAAACGGTACTTGAGTGCCGAATTGCAGGACTGGCAGTCTCGGAACCCGAAGGTTTGTCAGACAAGCAGTGCGTATAATTGTCATCGACGGTCATGGTGGGGTGCGCTGATGGTGGGACCGAGTCCGAGTCCGATCTCAGGGGAAAAACACGTCTGTGGCATTAAACTTCTGGGCCATGCGAAACGAGAGTCACGCACAGATACGCTAGAGAAGTATATGTATGTCGCTGGTAATCACGATAATTGCTGAAGCGCGAGTGGTGGTGAAGCCGGGTGCAGGCGGATGCAACGATGGTGATGATGCGAGAAGGACACGAAGAGGCTGCATGCACGGCTGTGACGGGCTGGCTGAAGGTGGACGTCGTCGTATCACGTCGACATTGCATGGAGTCGTGGCGGAAGGATCGGAACGCGTAGGTCCGTGCTTGTTCGGTTGCTCCTTCTACCTCCTACCTGGGCATCGGAACCCAGGGATAAACAAACAGTGGCCGACAAGCTCACAACGCCGCCACATCCGACGACGCCGCCGGTAGCCGACCACGACGGCTGCACTCACCATGGACTCGTACAATCTCAAGACGGCGTCGACGTACATCAACAACCTGCTGCTTGCGCGGGGGTTGTTGCGCAATGGCACGCCCATTGAGTTTGCGCATCCGTCGAGGGGAGAAGGGGGGAAAGAGGCCACCATGGCCCAGATCATCAACCTGGTGCACGACCTGATATTGAAGCGCGATGTAGGCACATGCACGTTTACGTTCTGGTGGGGAGGGTCCTAATGAGCAGACAGCGCGACCAGGAATACCGCGAATCCAGCGCCGACACGCTGCGAAGCCTGCGCGCCGAGTCGACGCGCCAGACGGCCGCCCTCGAGAAGCAGCACAACCGCAATGCCGACCTATCGCGACAGCTCTCGCTCGCCCAGGCGCAAGAGCAGTCGGCGCGCAAAGCCCTGCACACGGCCGAGTCGTCGGCGCGGAAGCTGCGCGCCGAGATGCAGCGCCTCAAGACGACGGTCGACCAAGTGCGCACCAGCTGCACCAACGACGTGCGCAAGCGCGACAAGGAGATTGCACGGCTCAAGAGCCACCTGACGAGCCAGCAGCGCGGCAACAAGACGGGCCTCGTCGGCGCAAGCATCACCATCAACCCCGGCAGCACGGGCTTGGGCGCCGCCACGGGCCATGCGCGCGACGAGTCGCCCAATGTCGACGACCCCGAATACAGCCTGAAGCAGGAGACGACCGAGTTCTTGACCCAGCTGAGCCAGAGCTTGAGCGACGAGAACGACAACCTCATCGGCCTCGTGCGGAGCGCTCTGGTGACACTGAGGGAGCTACAAGGCATGCCCGAAGTCAATCGCAAACAAGACGCAGACGACGCCTCGGTCGCGGGCGACGAGCAAGACGACACGCAACAGGACATGCTGCACACGCTGCCTACCGACTACGAGACTCTCGCCGACGACATGGACACGGTCTTGGACAACCTGAAGAACCTCCTCACAAATCCAAACTTTGTAGCAGTGGACGAGGTCGAGATGCGCGAGGAGGAGATTCACAGGCTACGCGCCGGCTGGGAGAAGATGGAGGCTCGGCTGCGCGAGTCGTTCCTCCTCATGGACTCCTGGCGAAAGCGCATGACCAATGGGGACACCATCGACCTCGAGGAGCTTAGGATGGGACTAGGATTTGGCGAAGGGTTCGAGACGGTCGATAGGGAAGGATTCTCCGTGATTGATGAAGAAAGCGAGGCCGAGGAAGCTGCAAGCTCAGCCTTAGAAGAAGACGTGGACAATACAGAAGAACAAGAGGAGGCCGTCTACCTGCCCTCACCCAAGCCACACGCGAGACCAGACAAGACAACCGGGCCCGATGTCTTCAGCATCAAGTTGCAACCCAGCCAGCCAGCGCTGAGGGAGACCAACGGCAACAAGTCGCCCAGTCGATCGCCCCGCAAAGTCGCCTTCTCAGCGTCCATACCGAATACACCGTCTCAGGTGGACGGAGAGAACGCAGACACGTCTGGGATAGATCTAGTCGATGCGGAGAAGGCTAGTCGGCCAACCTCTGCAGCCAAACCGCCTCGTTCAGAAGAACGAGCGTCAAGACCAACAAGTCAAGACAGACCACGCCATGTACGTTGTGACATCTTTCCCTCTACGTCCACTCCCTCCACAATCTCCAGCCCATCAGCACCACACCCATCCTTCAACAGATCTGACAATTTACGACAGACCAAGAAGCGCTTGTCGAGCCCACGTGCCCATCCCGACGAGCGATCGCCGAAGCTATCGGTCCAAGACAAGTTACGAGAGGCCGCGGAAGCAGCCGCTGTAACCGACGGAGACATCTCCACCAAGAAGACGGACGAAAGCACCGAAGTGTCCGAGGAAAACCCTAAGAAGCGGACACCTAGATCTCCCGTCAAGACACGAATCAGTGGGAGGCCAAAGAGGAGAAAAAGCACCTTGACGCCAGAGGAGCTGGCAAATCTTCTAGGCTGCTAGACTAGGTTGGAGCATGTGCGATCCTCACGATGGCACCGTGAACTAGGACTTGATAGCGACTCGAGGCTGCATCGGCGGCTGGTCATGCAAGATCATGCCATCAACTGGCTTCCAGTTATATGCGAGGCTTGCATGTTGAGGAGTCGGTCGGTGGAGTGAATGATGGGCGTGACCCATGCTCTCCTCTATTGGGTAGGTCATAGATGCCAGTGCGTTTGTGGCCCTTATGCACTGGGTAACGGCGCGTATCCTGAGGCCCTCCTCGACTGGACTATCAAATCTCGCCAGGCCCACTCATGAGCTCGCACAGATTCGGTCAATGCGCGACTGTGAACGGTCTTGATTTTGAAGGACGTCCACGAGAAATGACCTACCTCATCGTGCGAATGGGCCATGGCACAGCAGCAACACAGCATCTCCCCTGCTTCTTGTGTGCCCAAGGGGCTGCGTATCCGACGCAGTGACATGCCTTGGTGGAAGTGCTCATAGTCGGGCATTGATAATGTTATCGTCCTCGGTCGCTTCGCGTACCTGAATCCTCCCGCCCGCCCGTCATTCCTCCTGACAACTCTGCGCTCGTTCAATCTCTAGTCTTCACATGCACCTTTGCACATCATCACGAGAGACACCGGTTTTCCTCCACATGGCGCACATTGTGACCGCAGTGTGGCCGTAAAAATCGCTCGCTCCGCCTCCAGCATTCCTGAGGTTGGTGATGTGGTGTTGTGGTTGGACGGCGTTGCAAGCCACTAAGTTTATTAGCCGCCCATTGTCCCCATTCGGGACATTAGGTGATGGAGGATATGAGCACAGCTCCAGTGATTGGGCAGAGGCCGAGATGCGGATGCAGAATGGCTGTAAATAGGTCTCTATGCGGCAGGGAGGATAGCTGCAGCGCGATCAAGGTAGCAGCCTTGGAAAGCAAATTTCTCTGCATCTGTCGTCAGCCCTCGAGCCACAGTTCCCCCGTCGAAAATGCACTGTTATGCAGTGTGACAGGCGATTATCTGCACCTTGCACATCCCGGCATCACATGGCTCTCCTGTTCTCTGCTGCTCATTGGTGTGGTGTTTTCACCCCAAGCCCGTGCGCTACGTGACGGCCCACTTATGTATTCCCCGCCCGCGTTGGCGAATGAGGGCGCAGAAGCAAGACGCCCGGCTACACACGTTAAGCCCGCCCACCACTCCCGCTTCACCATCAAGCGCTCGCCGTACATTCGATAGACTGCTCTCCACACCCGCTACCAGCTTACACCCTGCGAACATGGCGTGTCTACGCAGCGCAGGTAATCAATCGCTACCGGGTCCAGCGAGACCTGGCCCATAGTTGGCGTAGTGCAATGTGCCGGCCTGCCAGCCCCTCGCTAACGCCCAATGGTCGCTCAGCAGCTGTGCGATGCTGTGTCTATAGATAAGTAGGCCTGGCGCCGCTCACATCTCGTCTTTTTTTCTTCAGCAAGTGTGTCAAGTTCAGAGCTGTTGTGTTCGTCTTTTGTCTATTCTTTTTACCCCTCCCCTTCTCCCCCTCTACTCTCCAGGCCTGGTGCCATTTAATTCCCACTACCTCACCGTCGACCTTTATACCCACCCTTTTACAATAATCCAATTCTTTGTGGCCGGTCCACTTTCACGTAATACACAGTTCTACTTGCTCGAAACGAACTTTCAAACTCACAACGACAACGCAATACTCGCAAACCTTTACGAAACTCTCAACACACAGCTTCTTCAGCAATCTTGACGTCTATCCATTAGTTTGGCATCGGACGAATTCGAAAGAAACGATTACATCATAATACCAATCTTTACAACAGAAAGAACGAAACAACATCACAATGGCCGCTATCCAGCTTAACTTCACTCTCCGCACTTCCTCCAACTGCAAGACCGTGCACTTGCTCGGCTCCTGGGACGGCTACCAGGGTCAGCTCCCGCTCTCCAAGGACCCCAAGAAGTCCGGAGGCTGGGTCGGATGCTTCAAGTTCCAAGGACAGACCTTGAAGCAGGGACAGCGCTACTGGTACTACGTATGTCTCTCCTCTAGCACTGCATGGT